ACCTTGACCTGACCTTCACAAAAACGTGACCTAGGCTGGCCCCAAAGGCTGCCTAACCCACATAATCGCATTTGTCATGTAAAATGGACCATAAAACATGTATCACACGACACATTCATATTGTGACCCCCGGTGACCTGACCTCGCTGTGACCTGACCTGGTATCAGTGACCTCAGATAGCAAAGTATGTGTTTGACGAACAATATACCATCGATGGTTTTCAATAAATTACCAATTTACTCGCTTTCACAGCACATTTCTTGAATTGCCTGTGAACGGTGAAAATCTGACCTTTGACCTGACCTGTGACGTCATCGGTTTGACCTAGGTCAATGAAATTTGGTCACAAGGTAGTTCCCGGGTGGGGCTATCGAACGCCGTTTGAATTTTGAAAATCGGCCGGTAACTTTCCGAGATCTTAGGGGGGGGGGCCGAAACGGCCTCCCCCCTACGGGTGGTAGGGTCCGCCGGTAGCCCTACGGGGCGCGGGTTAAGTGAAGGAAATTGCGGTCAATAACGCTGTAGGAACAAAAGGGAATCTTCATTTAGGAACAAAAGGGAATCTTCATTAAAGGGCAAGCTGAATAGTTGTCAAGTTCTGGTGTTAAGGGTACCGGGTGGTAGGTACAGAGTAGACAGACACTTAAGTCAGCAAAAAGTGGGGGGGGGGGTAGTTAACATTGCTGCCCCCCCCCCCCCCCACCTCCGAAAGTGGGGGGCCATGGCCCCCCGGCCCCCCTGTTCCTACCCCTATGTGACCCTATCTAACGGCGCCGGAGGTAGAGTACTGTCGCGGCCGCTTCCAAATAATATGGGCGTCTTCCAAGGATCTGCCCTGGGACCGTTACTCTTCACCATATTTTCGAACAACCTCTCGCTATACGCAGGTGACGCCACCGTTTTCCAATATGCGGACGACACCCAGGTTCTAGTGAGCGGCCGTGCCGACCACCTCAGATCGCTTATCTCTCGCATGGAAGCTTCACTCGCATCAATCAGTAACTGGTTCTGTCTTCACGCCCTCAAGCTAAGCACAAACAAAACACAACTCATGGTTTTTGGCAGCAGACAAAATTTACGGAAAGTACCCGACTTCAGCGTCTCTCTTCGTGACTCTGTGTTGCAGCCATGCGAGCAGGTGGGGAATCTGGGTGTTGTCTTTGACAGCACCCTGTCCTGGGAAGCCCATTTGTCCGAGCTTAGTCGTCGGTGTACTGGCTTGTTGATCGGACTGTCTCACGCACGAAATTGTCTCCCTGACGGTGTCAGTTCTCGTTACATCTCTGGTCATATCACGAATCAACTACTGACTCACTGTGTACGGTAACGGGACTCAGAAAATTTTTGACCGACTCCAGAAAATTTTGAACTTTGCCGCTAGAGTGATCTTCGGACGGCGTAAGTTTGACCACGTCTCGGACCTGCGCGACAGACTTGGCTGGCTATCACCAAAATCCATGTCAGATTACCTGACACTCACGATCGCGCAAAAGGTCATTAACCCGCGCCCCGCTGGGCTATTCAGCCATACGCGCCCTGCTGGGGGGGGGGGGGGGCAGATTCTGCCCCCCCTGTCTAACTTCCGAACCGATGGTCGTAGAAAGACGGGGAAAACGGCAATCGAAAGCTCTCAACAAGGCGGATCTTAAGAGCCCAAATTTTTTTGCTTAAGTAGGTCAGAGGTCAGGTCAAGGTCAGGTCAAGGGTACAAAATGCAAGTTTCTACAGTATCGGCCTTGCACCGTAGTTGCCGAAGAATGGACTGAGACTGATTGCCCAAAACGTGTTCTTAGACTACCAAGACAATATTCGTTGCACACAATGTCATTCAAAGGTCAAGGTCAAGGTCAGGTCAGGTCAGGTCAGGTCACCAAAAACAAAATATAGAAAAGGGCATTTGCGACACATGTTTTATGGGTCATTTTACTCATGGAATTCAATAGGCACACTCAATAAGTGATATGGACCACCTCTGGATGAATTTCAGGTCGAGGTCAGGTCAAGGTCAGGTCAAGTGGGGTCAAATTTTGAAGTTGGTTGTTAAGGCCTAAAAAGGTGTCTATCCGATGCAGTTTTTCACGGCGAATCGAATGGTGCTATTTTTATTTCCGTGCGAGGTCTAGAACTTCCAAAAAATCATTTTTCAAAATTTTTGTGTGTCGTGACGTCATAAAATTTTGAATAACTCCCACATTTTTGAACCGATTCTTCTAAAAATTGGTATGTAGGTACACATAGACCACTTCTTTGACATATATTCCGGTTTTTTCGATAAACTCAAAATTTTGGATTTTATAAATATTTTCCCAAAAAAGTCAGTTTTTTGGAAAAATTTTGGCCAAAATCCAAAATTTTCAAAAAACCGAGATAGCCATTTGATAGACAAAGTAGAATCACGTATAACCTTTTTTGTTACGTCTTGATTCCTTTAAAAATGAAGAAGTTAGCGGCGTTTGAAATTTTGCCGTTTTTTAGGCGAAAATGGCGAACATGACGTCACTAAAACGTCAATTTCTCAAAAATTTTCCGACGGATTTCGCTCAAATTTTCAGGGAACGTGTCAAATTGATGTATGATAAGGTACTGAAAGTTTGACGTCGCTGGCGTAACGCGTTTAGAAGTTATTGGCGAAAAACGGGAGGGGGGGCAGATTCTGCCCCCCCCAGCGGGGCGCGGGTTAAGCATGAAGAGCCCGAGAACCTTGCTGCACTGTTCGTCCCCAATCAAAATTTTCGAGACAGGCACACACGGCAGGATCGTCTCCTTCATCTTCCCCGACCGAGGCTTGAAACCGGAAAACGGCGTTTTGAGTACCGCGCCGCGGCGCTGTTAAATAGCCTTCCACCCCAGGTAGTGCAGCTGCCACCTGCCAGCTTCGCCCGGTCTGCCAGGGCCGCGCTGATTAACAAATCCCCGCTACGCCGCTGACGAGTCTGTTTAGTAGTAGACAAGGCATGCCGCCAATAGGTGGACGATCTGTTTGTGCTTATGTATATATATTGTTTGTCTTATGTACAGTCTGTCTTAAAAGTACCGCGCAAAGTGACGGTGGATCCATCAAGCCTGACTGAGGAAGAGGCTGCTATAATTTGAAAGTCACCGAACCAATTGACCTAGGGAATGGACGAGGATGTGAATTGCTTCAGTGACTCAAATTTAGTAGGCCCTTCCTCGGTCAGGCATGATGGATCCACCGTCACTTTGCGCGGTACTTTTAAGACAGACTGTACATATGTAGATGATTATTGTCGCGACCCCCATCGATGGATGACTGTCGTCTAGTGCTGAGTGTTCTTCCCCCTGCCCGCATGATTGTTACCCATTATACTCGGATCTAAGCCGTAATCGCCACGCCATATGTGGAAGGCTTTTGGTGTCAATACATACATACATACATACAATCGTCACCAAACTTTTAGTACCCTCCCGTGAATAGATTTTGCACATTGTGACTGTTAAATACTGAGAGGTCCAAGCTGCACTGTATTGTCGTCACGACACCAGCCCGTGTGGGCACCGGGCACAGACTGACACACCCAGCCGCGCGGCCGCCGGACGCCGGCCGCCAGGTCACGCCATCAGCGCCTCAGGCTATCTAGCCCAGCTGGCCGGCACGGCACAGCCAATCCCAGCCACAACAGTGACTAAAAATTTTCAAAAGGCTATGATAAAAAGTTGGCAGGTAATGACGTCAGAGTTACGTCATTTCTGCCATTTTCGACCCATAAAAAGTTTTGCGGGAAGAGCTGTGAGGCCTACAGCTTTAGAGATACAGAAAACTGTTTCATATAAAAGGTGTAGAATCAACAGGGCTACAAACCTGCTATCTCAGATTTTTGAAATTTTTGGATTTCGACCCCCAAAAATAAACATAGATTTTTTAATGTAATAGCCGAAAAATCCAAAGATTTTTTTGAATTTCGGAAAACGGAATATATGTGATAGTGCCTACCACATTCTATCCACATACCAAATTTGAGATCGAAACCTCTTTTTTGGCAAATAGACCTCGTAGCGCAAAACAAAGACCACCATTAGACTCCCCGTGACGAGCTGCATCAACTCAATACCCATTTAAAGGGACTATCCCACCTTTAACATGGGGTTTAAGTTGAGATAGCCAAGTTTGCGGCGAGGTTCAGAAACCACTATCTATCTAGGTTGCAACCCCCGCGGCCTCTTGGTGTTGAAGAAATTCGTTCCCTTCATTTGAAAATGGGCCTTGTACAAGGCCCTATCTTCAACATGGAGCGACCGTTAGTGTGACGTCACCTCGTTTAGTCATTCTGATTTAAATGTGTTTGTTCGTTGAAAAATCGCTTAAAACTTGGTCCGAACTTTGTTGTGGTGCCTACAGAGTAAAAAGAATCAGCTTTATGACAGTAATGTGACCTGGGGAAGGAGGTAATTTTGGGCTGTGACGTCACATATTTGAAAGTTTGTGTTTGGAATATGGGAAGCCTAAGATGTTTAATGAAAAATAAATGCCAGAACCGTGTTCCTGGTCATCCAATCTATAAAGTCGGGCACAATTTAACTGGTTTTAACAACATTTTAGAAGGTGGGATAGTCCCTTTAATGCAAAACTATCAGCTTTGAAATTTGACCTTTTTTTGACTGACCTTGACCTGACCTCCACCAGAAAGTGACTTAAGTGACTTACACCGTACCTGATGGTGTTTTAACCATCACCATTGAGTTGGAAGTGAAAAATTGGCCATAAAACATGCATCGCACAACCTTGGTAAAGCTGGGTTCATGTGCTGACCCTTTGGTGACCTGACCTGTGACCTGACCTGGTAGTTCAGTGACCTCTAATAGCAACATATCTACTAGGCAGCTGACGCCCTGCTATCGAACGCCGTTTGAATTTTAAAAATTCGTCCAGTGGTTTCAGAGATACGGGAGGGGGCAAAAAATGTCCCCCCCCCCACCGCGCGGAAGGTGGCCGGAAGGCCCACCGCCTGCCGGGATATAGGACATGTTTGTATTTCCACAGGTACTTCGGCGACTGGAGATACCACACATCGTCTGCTTGAATGATGCCACCGCCGAGTTCACTGCGCTGGCCCGAAAACTGGACTGTCCAATCATGGGAATTCAGAATAAGTACCTGACCCAGAACATAGTCGCTGTCAAGGTACCCCGGAAAAGGGCCACGCTGCAGCTTCGCCACCCGCCGCCGGGACAGAAGGGGTTCTACATGCCCTGTGAGGTGTTCCATCCGGAAAGGTGATGCAACTGCTGAAAAAGGCGGCTGATATTACTCAAATGATGATCGTAAATAAACCCTAAGCGTAGCTTACTTCAAGTAACTCATGTTATGGCAGGAGTTTCACAATCGAGGCAGCGAATGGCAATGACTGACCTGACCTCCGATTGCCCTTACAAGAAGTGCGAAGTCTACTTGCAGAAGTGTGTGGAGACGAGATCCTTTTCAATTATTTGACGTTTTGTCATACTGAAAAAGACATGACACTGGTTAAGACTCACCTGGTCAACTCACCTTGTTGGGTTTCCATTTCCGTTCTGAGCCAAAAACATGGTTAGGAAATCGAGAAGGATATTAAGGAACCCACATCAAAAGACGCGCCAGCCCAGATATAAACACAGCTCACATGATTGATAATTACAATGCATATTATGGCTGGAATTTGGCTTATTCAATGAGCACGAACATATTATGATATTATCGACAGCGCAACATATTTATCATTGGTAGCTCTGCAACGCGCGTATGTCTAGAAAAGTGTACAACCGTCAGTCAGTGAATTCGTAGAGGGCCTCGCCCAGCGCCTTCTCCAGTAACTTCTTGAAGCTAGCTAAGTTAGTTGTGGTCACAACATGCTGTGGCAAAGCATTCCACGCAGCTATGCATCTCACATTGAAGAAGTGTCTCCTTACATCGGTGTGAGACGTCGGAATGAAAATATTATTGCAATGACCTCGCGTGCTGCCGTGTTATAGGACGTTCAAACAGGTCAGATACATCTAGATGACTCCTGCCATTAAACAACTTTCAGCACTGAATAAGATCTGCCCTCAGCAGTCTGCCCTTGACTGAGAAAAGCTGCAAGCTACGTAGTCTACCGGCATAGTCAAGTGTCTCAACTGAGACGATTTGATTGACGATTGACCGATCACCGAGACGACTTGAAGGCATGATACATGATACTGCTTCTCTTAGGTTGCAATCCTTAAGCGATAGAAACGCTCGGCCAAATCAAGTACGCATATACCTTAAAATATTATTCAACCTTGATCCGGTCGATTCGACAGGTTCCTGAAGAAGTTCGACATCTCCGTCGAGATGCTGCCTCTCGTGTCGACGATCCCGGGCACCGGTCCACATCCGCCAGCCCTGTTCGACGCGTTCTTCGAGAAGCTTGAGGAGCAGTACCACTCTGTGGAGCAGAAGCAATTCCGACGACTGGACCTGCTGATGCGGTGGCTCTCCGACCAGGATTCCATTGAAACTGCCCTGAAAGAGGTTTGTCCTTCTGGTATTGCTTTATTCCTTGCGGTATATTCCGGTAGATTGCTTGCCTTTAAAGGTAGACTGCCACCTTTTTTCCACAAAACGGTTTTCACTAGAGCTGAGCCACCTATGTCCCAGACTGAAGTCGGTTTTCCGAACTTCGAACCCGTTTGCGAGAAATCGGAGACCAAAGTTCAGTTTGATGCCATTTTTTTAGTCCAAGAAAACCGACATCTCTACTGTTTATCGATAACTTTGAAACATGAATTTTCTTATCTTTTGGTAAATATATGTCAAAACTTTGATTGTTTCGAGATCAGAGAAGAATTTTGGAGTGTCAAAATAAAAGTTAAACCTATATATTCAGTAGTTCATTTTTTCCAAAAAAGTGTGGGAAATGGGGTTTAACATGGGCCATGGACCCATTCCAAATGAGCCATGATTTTTAAATGTTTTACGAACTTAAATGTAAAATAAATTAAACATGGCCAATTTCTTATGAAATCATATATTAGTAAATCATAAAATACCTTACTTTTTCAAATAAAAAGTAATAATCTTATGACCTTGAAGTCTAGTGATGTGTAAACATTGTCGTTAGACATTAACCGATTGATAATTGTATGATAATCGACATTTTTTTCGCGATTCACGTGATGATACTTTGTCAGGTGAATTCTAAAATTTTGTTTTGTCCAGGGAATAAATCATAGGCCGATCTGAGAAAACTTTTTGAAGGTGGCAGTCTTCCTTTAACATCGCCGGCCGAGTGGGGAAGGGGGTGACGCACTCCCTTATAGTTTATTTTTCGCAATAACTCCGAACTCGCCGGCGATAGAAAGCTGAAACTTGGCATACCTGACCTTTGAACCAAGTCACATTTTGAGACACCAACTATATTTTCAGGTCAGGTCATGTCACTGACCTATAACGTCATAAGTGAACTTCGATCCTAGTCAGATATTGCAATTTTGCAACGCCCTCAGTACCAGAGGATCTTATACAAAGAGATAAAACTTACAGGATACAGTATCCCCTAGAAGTCCCAAACTTGTAGGTATATCTCGATTTTTTCCCCTGAAGGTCACATGAGGTGAGGTCTGTCACGTAACCTCCCTATAAGGGGGACTTGGGGTAATCCCGCTACTTGGGAAACCCCACCATACCCCATATTGGTGAGATTATGAGTTTAAACAATGCAATTAGCGTGATTTTTAGTCACCGTACTACGCACGACTCGGGAGGCGGAAGGGATGCGACACTTGCGGATACATGCAAAATAATGATTTTACAGAAGTTATCGGGTAAAACCGTCATGCTAAGACGGGTACTCATCTGCCTTGCTTGAAAGTAGGATTAATAACTGTCTTTGAGGAAAAAAAAACAAATATTCCACCAGCTAGCTGCACAATTTAGTACGATTATTTGTGAAATTGTACATAATGAAGCAAGAGCATTCAATGGCGGGCTTACCGCCACCTTTTTATGACTAGTAAAATGCAAGATATTCTTTTTTTAGAACAAAATCAAATTATATTTTGGAATGACGGAACCATTCATCAACTTTTGCATTGTTGACTTTGCAGACAACATTACCTCCTTTGACCAGGTTCGTGACCTGGGGTACACTAAGCTGACTTTGAACCGAGGTCAACATCTGAGCTTGACCTCTGCACCCAAACAGAAAATAAACCATTTGACCTGTCTGAGAAAGACGAACACGATTATGGTAGTATCGCAGCTCTTTTTTGCGAAGTTATTTATGAGTAACTAGTAAGTGATCTCGCGCCTTTGGTCACTTGTCCTGATCTCACAGGTTAGCAGTTGACCTGAGACCTTAAAATGGGGTGCCAGTCAGTACTCTTGGTAGCGGTGGACATGCTCGTTTTTCTGCGACATTCTAGCTCCGTCAGGTGCGAAATAGCGAGGGGGTCGCAGCCGGCTCCCTCCACCCCCCCCCCCGATCGGCTGGGGCCTATGTAGAAACCAATAGGTCCAGCGAGGCTTTTAATGGCAAGTGAATCATTAAGCAACTGAATACATCATATTTAATTAGTCACCTCGTCAGAAAACATTAAATGTCACTCGCTGGTGAATCGCCCGTGAACACATTGTGCTTATATTTTTAAGGGATGATATGACATGGAATTTAATTTGCCTATCTTGTGTATGCCATCTGCTAGGCTTATGTCTCGGAGAGTGGCACAACATCAGACCAAAAGAAGTTATAAGGGAGCGATTGCTGACAGTATGGATTTCTTTCAGGTGCTCTGCAGCTGCCAAATTTCCGAGCAGAAAAAGTGGGACATCGAAGACCAAATTCACCGAATCGTCAGCTGCCAAGAAAAAAGCAGTCTCGAGTTTCTCAGGGACGCCAGGACCATGATGCTGCCCAAAGGGATGGTGCTGTGCGACATAGCTGCTCCCGTGGCTCCTTCGGTCCTACCTGGCTACACTCCAAGTTCAGCCCCCACTGACCCCACTCCAGTCCCCACTGGCCCCACTTCAGCCCCCACTGACCCCACTCCAGCCCCCACTGACCCCACTCCAGCCCCCATTGGCCCCACTCCAGCCCCCACTGACCCCACTCCAGTCCCCTCCGACTTCAGCTCCACTCCAGCCCCCACTGTCCCCACTGGCCCCACTTCAGCCCTCACTGACCCCACTCCAGCCCCCACTGACCACACTCCAGTCCTCTCCGAGTTCAGCTCCACTCCAGCCCCCACTGACCCCACTCCAGCCCCCACTGATCCCACTCAAGCCCCCACTGACCCCAATCAAGCCCCTTCTATCCGACCCATCCCTGACCACAGACCACCACTGTATGACCCCACTCCACCCGCAGCCAAAACCCGTCCCGCCTGGGTCAAATTTCCACATCCGCCGGCACTGCGACAAGCGGCAGCTAGCGGTACCGTGCGCACCAGCTGTCTCAGAGCCGTGTACAATGTGCCAATACCAGTGTCACCGTCGGTGGAAGATCACGGCCTTCCTTTTAGCCGCATGGCAGCTGTGCCGCTGCAGGCGAGACTCTCGGCGCTGCTGGGAGCTCCGACCCAGCCGCTGGTGCTGCTTGGCGTCCATAGGGGCGAGGATCACCAGATGCTGGCCAGCTGCACGTGGCGCGCGCCACTGCTGGAGCGCGTTCTGCTGGAAGGCGAGCAGAGCCGACTGCGAGCGGCGCTCAGCACGCTACAGCTGCGGCCGAACACGCTGGACGCGCTGCCAGAGCTGCTGCGGCTGCCGGCCGCCGCGCTGGTCGAGTGGCGGCGAGTCACGAACCCCCGCAGCGGGCGAGGTCAGGTGCGCGCCGTGCTGCTGACCCTGCTGGCGATGACGCCGGCCGACACGCCGCCCTCGGCGCTGGGCCTGAGCGCTTCAGCGGCCACCGAGTGGCGAGCCCGAGCCTGGCCATGGCGCTTTGCACAGCCTTCGCAAGGCCGGATCGACTGGAAAGCGATGCACCTTCAGAACGAGCTGCAGGACGTGTACAAAACGGTGCTGAGCGTGAACGAGGTGCTTGGCCAGCCCCTGCAGCAGCTGGATGTGGTCGATACGATCCACGTGCCGATGACGATGCTATTCGGCTTTGCCAGCTACGGTAAGTGATTCTTTGACCTATTGTTTCTATCTATTGTTCTCTGCCTTACTGTAACGAATCTCTGCCTCGTGTAATTGTGCCATTTGCCCTTTTTTGCCTGTGCTTATGCTCTTTTTTATTGCGTTTATGATCACTTTATCCTGTTTCTGTTACTGGCAGCTGAGACGCGCATATGCCCCTTATTGACCAGCGCATGTGTGTTGTATCGGGTTTTGTATCATTCGAAGCCGCAAGTATACCCCAGAGCCATTGCGTTTGAATCACAATCGCAGCAGTGAAATAATGCCATTTTCTCCGCAGGCTACGACCCCGAACCTGAAGAAGAGGTGATGAGCCTGGTCGACGCGGTGGCAGACACTGTCGAGGAGGAGGTCTGCTGGTGGCTGGACAACGGACGACAGGACAGCGGCAGTGCAGGTGGCGTATCACCCGATCTGGCTCACTGGAGGACGAGATCGTGGCACGTCCTGCGGGGGTTCCGTTGGTTGATTTACAATTCAGCTTTTGAGCTGAGTGTGGATGTGGGGTCAGGGTTCATTGTGAATACGGTAAGAAGTGGAGAAGTTGACATCCACGGCTTGTTTTCTAATAGTTGTCAATTGTCATTGTCATAATGTTTTCTCGAGGAGTTCATCGCCCTTAAAATCACAAATACCTTGAACAAACTAGCTGCCGTTTCCAGCTTAGAAACCTGTACACCAGATTCTTAAACCAAAGTACTAGGATCCCAGAGCATGTGTCATGGTTTTGGACTAGGAGTAGTTTGAATGTCAATTCAACTTGAGCTGAACTTTTCCAGTGCTCCCATTTCACAAGTTGTCCTTCCACAACTTCTTACGACTGCGCCTCTTTCGCAGGTGTTCCTGCTTGGACGCCCCCACACAGTCGCCAAGGTCCCTCCAGCTCGGAGCACCCGGATCTGGGGGCAGTCAGAGAGCTCACCGGCCTCATCAACAAGCTGACCGGTGAGAACGCGCCGTGCCTGCTGGAGAAGATGCGCCACGTGTCGGTACAAACCGAGTACGGACTGTACGCGCTCGTGGATGTTGTCTTCCGAGCTGTGCTGAAGATGCCGCGACTGATCGACATTTGCGCTGACGCATGCGCAGTGCTTGACAAACTCCAGGTACGTTGTGGCATCCTTGGCTATTGACATGTAGACCGGTTTTCTTTTTCTTGAAAGATTTCTCTAGAGTCCGATCGACTGTTCGCCTCCTGATTTTGCATCGGTTGACACCAACTCTCGCTCCAACTGCTCGCCAGGTGAAGTCAGACCGCAGAGACGGCACGGCCGTCAGCTTCGGCGACTTCATGCTGACCCGGCTGTCGCGTGGCCTCGCACCGGTCAACCGGAACACACTCTCGCGGGAAGACCTGCTGCATCACCTGGAGACGGTGGAAGACCCCGCGGAGCGCCGGCGCCAGCTGCGGGAGCTGACAGACTGCTGGAGGCAGGCCGAGAGGCGGCGCTGCGTCTGCCTGCTGCTGCTGGCAGCGCTCATTCGCCGAAACCTGGTGCAAGGCCGGGATGCACAGATCTGCTTTAGCGAGCTGGAGTTAGAGCTGAGGCCGAAAGGTAAAAAACTTCGCAGTGTGAAGCTGTTCGATGACGACAACGGCCCGGAGATGGACGCTGTGGAAGAAGCTGCCGAGGAGATAATCGATTTCATCTCACCTCCCGAAAAGTGTGATATGGCGCTCATCTACTGCCTCCAAAGGGCCTACGACCGATTCGCTATGAATGACTCAATAGAGGATTTTCTGAAGTTGATGGTTCGTGGTGGCGAGCCTAAGGCGAATTATGAAGCACGAAAGACGTCTCTCGGAAGTACGAAGGAGGATAGTGCACCTGCGGAAGGAGCTGACTTGAGTCACGAGGCTGAGGGGCAAACCGTGAGGCCGTTCAAGGGGTAGTGCTATCCGTGATAACGGCAGTGTGAACACACAGAAGTGCCTAAAATATGCATCACTGAGGAAGTGAACACTTAGACGATAACGCTTCCCTACAGGCGAGAGAACTTAGTACGCAGCAGCTCCCGAGGCATTTGCTATGAGGGTGAAGTACTGCCTTATGTGATGCCATGTGGTTCTTTTAAAATGAAGCATGATATGCTGGCTTGTGAGATAAGATGTGATACGAGGCAAACTGATACTCTCTGAAGAGTAAAACAGCGAAAGTTATTAAAAAGTTCGAGACTGATGAAAGATGGAACTGTGAAAAAAATGAGAGCAGTGAATGCTGGAGGGAGAGGAGACCTTGCGCTATGCCATTGCCTAAAAGAAGTTATGATTTGTTGTGAAGGATGAGGAATCAGGAATCGTCTTCTGTCGCCTTGTTGATGCTAGGCCAGTCAGCTGAATTTGTCCTGGTTATTAACACCAATATGTTTAATTTGCGAAATTTCATTGCGAATTATTTATAAGTGCGTAGTAGATAGTACGATGTATACAGGAATCCCTTTTCTATTTCGCCTATGTATATGTGAAAATGCTGATAGTTGTGTCGAGGGTTATGTTCGTCTTGTTGAGAGGTACGCCCAATGATATGTTTTCCACACGTCGACTGCGTTTTGTTAAGGTTACATCTTTTGGCATATTCACAATAACGGTTTATTTCGTACCGAAATCGGTACATATACACAATACACATCACCACAACACTTCAACAAACACAAAGACACAGGAAGCGAATGTAAAATGCGTGTTTCCCTACATCCGGTACACAAACCGATCTGGAGCTTCAGCATTCTCCCACGCACAATTTCATCGATCCGGGCAACCAATACATTTATGAAATTCAAAAGGCGAGATAGCGGACAAATCCAACTCCCAGTCATTGAGCTCATACTGCTGACGCAGTCGCAAATGCTGCTGCGCTGCCAGACTAGAGATGTCAATCGGATACCAACTTTTTGGTATACCGATACCAAACCGATACCAACTTGGTATTTGGTATTTCAATCCTAATGTACTTGGTATTTTGTTGGTATTATGAGTCCTTACTAATGTATAAGAGGCTGAGAAATTGGTACAAAGTCGGTATTTCCCTCATGTTATGAAATTGGTTCGGTATCGGTATTTCTTCATGGCTTATGTTGGTATTTGGTTTGGTATCGGTATTCAGATTTTCTGTAATTGACATCACTATGCCAGACCCACCCGGCCAGCTGGACTATCCAACACGGCTGCAATCAGAGCATTGGGAGAGAGAGAGAGATAGAGAGAGAGAGAGAGAGAGAGAGAGAGAGAGAGAGAGAGAGAGAGAGAGAGAGAGAGAGAGAGAGAGAGAGAGAGAGAGAGAGAGCGACGCCAGAACAGAATCTGTCGTCTATACGCTATTTACATTTAACATGTTAACATTGTACGATCATGACATAGCTGATAGCTCATGATGACGGGCCCAGCGGGGAACCTCAAAAAGTCTCCTCATGCAGTTATGATATGCAATGCTAAGCTCTCCAGCTGCTCCCTGATCTCCGTACATGGTCCATCTTTTCTGCACATGTTGTGAAAATTTCAGACCCAAGTCACTTAAGGTCAGAATTCCAGGTCAGGTCGAGTGACCTCACTACATAAAAAGTTTCAATGCCTGCCATAGCTACACCGAGAGACCGATCGCTTTGAAACTTTCAGCGATTGATATAGCAACAGTATCTACAAAATGTATGTCTAGGAATTTTGATATCGGAGACCTAACGTCAGGTCAATTTTACCACCTCTCCATCATAACTCAATTGGAAATTATTGAAAGGCGCCTGTTTTGGATGAACCTCATTATAAACACTCTCAAACACTGAATAAAAGTAATTTTGACACACTGAACATGAAAATGGCACCCGTGCCCCTTCGTATGCCCCTGAGGTCATATCGGGCCACGAATGGTAGCTGTGAGTGAGTTTTTCGCGAATAACTTTTGATAGAGGCATGCTAGAGGGATGAAAACACCTTAGGTGTGTTCGGCTCGACCATACGGCTCGATTGATATGCAACATGACCCTTACCGGTCAGGTCATGACCTTGACCTGAGGTCAAATTTTTAAGTTGACCTTTTAAGGTCAAATGATAGATCAATCGATGCATTTTGACGAGTGGAGCACGATGCCGTTAAAAAAAATGTGCAGGGTTTGAGTCGAACGTTATTGCAGAAAAATCGTTAAAAAAAGTCCATTCTGGCAGTTTTTGCCCCCCCCCCCCTCCCCCAGGTAAAACCGTTGACGGGGTGTCAAATTTAGAGAATTAGAAAGAGCGGTAATAGGGCTATTAAATGCACTTTTCTGCGGCACTGTAGCTCTATTAGTTTCCGAGCTGTGCGTCGCTTTGTAGAAAATTGTTGAAATTTGACTTGGAAATCGGCGAAATTTGGCCTTCAATGACCTCTGGTGACCTGACCTTTGTTCTGACCAAACCGTGACAGAACTAATTTCTCCCAGGAGCCAGGAGGTTTCCCAGGAGCCCGGCTTCGTGGCCCAGGAGCCGAGTTAGAAGAGAGGGCGAGTTAGGAGAGAGGGCTCATCCATCCCAGCACCAGCTGAGCTGACAATGCTTAACTTGCCTTTATCCCATTCTTCTAAACTTTAACTTTAGGTAGGGGAGACTGGGGAGAAGTGGGACATTATTTTGACGTCAACTTTGAAAAATCGTACAAAATAGAATATTTAATATTTAAATAAATTGATTGCATTTACTGGTAAACGGTTTATTTCTTCTTCATTCTTTACTGTTTTTATGCGTGTTTGTTCACGTGTTACTTCTAAAATTTGAATTTTAGGAAAGGTTGACAATGGGGTGAACTGGGACACGTCCAGGAGAAGTGGGACAGATGATGGGGAGAACTGGGACTGGTCGAGAAATGTGATTTAAATGGAATATAATTAAAATTTGATGACCCATCAGTATCACGAAGGAGTTTTTAAAATTGACACTTAAAGAAATCACCTCGATTATCTTTTTTGAATTACACTGACAGCACTGAGTATCCTGGAAAATTTTCCCATGCATTTGCATGCGGGAGAACTAGGACAGGGTTTAGGCACGTTGTCCCAGTCCTCCCCAAGTCGTCATTTTTATTTCAGCTGCTCTACCACACAAAAAGTATAACAGATACATAAAAAAATGTTTCTGCATAATTAAGATGACCTAACTGATATCCAAAGGTGAACGGCCTGAACATTTCACATCGCTGAATAAGCGGCAAATTGAATTAGAGTAAAATGCCAAAAAATCACATTTTAGACCCTAACTCAATATCTCAGAGACAGGTAACCGGAAAAGGAAACCGCTTGGATGTGACGTGCCCCGACTAAATTCAAGAGAAAATATGCAAAAACAAAATTGTTTGTCCAATTGGTCACTAAGATATTGAAGGTGTCCCACTTCTCCCGCGTCCCAGTTATCCCCACTCTCCCCTATGTAGGTCAGAAAAACTGATATCTTATATATTTGCACGCATATCAACAACTAATTGTCATTTGCATAAATCACTTCTCCCGCGTCCCAATCCCATGTCCTTCAACACTGATCAGAGTCCGCCGTAGCCCCTGCCGACGGCACTGCGGTACACCACACCCGACCCTCGGTAACCCGCACCGAGAGCACCACCCAAACCCAGTCCGGAGCCACCACCAAAGGTCACACCGCCTCCAACTCCGTAGCCAGGACCGCCAGAGGCGCCCAGAGCAAGTGAGCCCAGTCCTGCGGTGGACCGCCCATAGCCGAGGGGCGTGGTCTGCGGGTGGTGCGCCACGCCCTCGTAGGTCACCCTGGCGTTGTAGCCCGAGTTGCCGTCCACCCAGTAGGTGACGATCTGCCTCCGGCCGTCGGGAAGCAGCGTAGAGTACGAGCCCTCGGTGCGGTCACCGAGACGGTTCTCCTGCGAGTCGATGTCCACGCCCGAGTAGGCGTCCTTCACGGAGTAGCCGGTGTTGTAGTCGGGAACTGCGTAGTAGTCCAGGGAGTTTCCTGGCCCGTAGGCTCCTCCGAGACCGTGTCCGAGGGAGCCCTGGAGAGCTCCGACCTGACCTCCAAGACGTCCTCCTGCGAGCGGACGGCTGTATCCGCCGGCCGAGACGACAGCCACCAGCGCAGACAGCACGAACAGCTGGAGGAAAAATGAAAGTATCAGCAGTGGAACACTGGCTTACCGAGAAGAGATATACTTTCTTATAGTTTTTTTTTTTTGGTCAAGAAATAATAAAGGGAACGCTACTAATAATTAGCATTTAATTAATATTTTACTTTATTACGGCATTGTATATCACATGCACCAATGAGTGATGTAACTTTTTGCGAGGTCACTATTCTATTCAAATGAACTGCAGTGTTAGACGATTCTGTAACGTTCGGTTGCTGAGTAATTTGCACCGTTATAATATGCTCTTGTTGACTACATTACCTTCATGTTTGCAGAATGTGTGCCAGTAGAGACTGATGCCTTGCTTGGTTCACCTCTGGTCTTTATACTGCTCTGTATAAACTCTCTCACTGGGTACTGATCATAGGGAAAACTGGGTCACGCACCACGCAAGCTTACGGGAAGGAATATGGGAACCAGGATTACTTTATGGGAACTGCGAACAGAGGAAAACCATGCTGAGTGGTCGGTAGAGAGGTAGCAAAACGCTAAGAGATAACGAGTTTCTTTAGCTGATTATAGCAGCGCACTAGTGTCCAGCGCAAGGTATAGTCTGATTGTAAAGCTGACTTCAGAATGATGTTGTACTTTTCACAGTTAATAAGTTTCCTGGAGTGGTAGGCTGTGCCGCATCACACGGCCTGGGTTCACAGTTAAATGCTGTGACCCAACGCTCCCCATAGACACTATTAACCCGCGCCTGGCTGGGGGTCCTGGATTTCCACGCCCTGCTGGGGGGTGTTTGAACACCCCCCCCCCCTTGTAACTCGGCTCCTGGGCCACGTAGCGATACGCGGAAGGCGGCGTTCGAAAGAGCGTAAAAAATAATGACGAAATCACTTCGGTCAATTTTTTGGTCAGGTCAAAGGTCAGGTCACCAGAGGTCATTGAAGGCAAAATTTCGCCGATTTCCAGGTCGAATGTCGAAAATTTCTAAGAAGCCAACGCATAACTCGGGAACCAATAGAGCTACAGCGCCGCGGAAAAGTGCATTCGATAGCCCTATCAACGCCCTTTCTGAGTAATTCTCTCAGATTTGACCTAACGTCAACGGTTTTGCCTGCAGGGGGCAAAAACTGCAAAAATAGCCGATTTTTTTCGGAAACAGTTTTTCTGCAATAACTTTTGACCCAAGCCTTGTACGAGCTTACTTTCACCGGCATCGTGTTCCTCTCGCCAAGACGCATCGAATGAACTATAATTTGACCTTGAAAGGTCAACTTGAAAATTTCACCTCAGGTCAAGGTCATGACCTGCCCGGAAAGGGTCATGTTGCATATCAGTCGATCCATATCGTCGAGCTGAGCACATATAAGGCGTTTTCATCGCTCTAGCATGCCTCTATCAAAAGTTATTTGCGAAAAACTGTTAGATACCATTCGTGACCTAAGATGACCTCAGGGCACAAACAAGGGTCACGGACACCATTTTCATGTTCAGTGTGTCTAAACCACTTGTAATTCGGTGTTTGGGAGTGTTTATAATGTCTTTCGTCCAAAAGAGACGCATTTCAATTTTCTCCCGTTGACTTATAATGGGGAGGTCGCAAAATTGACCTGACCTTAGGTCATCGATATCAAAATTCTGAGATAAACATTTTGTACATGCTATTGCTCTTAGCAATCACTGAAAGTTTCAAAGCGATCGGTCACTCGGAGTAGCTATGACAGACATTGAAACTTTTTATGAGGTGAGGTCACTTCAAGTGACCTGGTGACCTGACCTTGAATGACCTTGCTCTGAAATTTTCACAACATGTGTAGAATTGATGTATGATAAGGTGTACCAAAAACGGCGGCGCTCCGCGCCGCCGTTTTTGAGATATTCGCGAAAAACCACAAGGGGGGTGTTCAAACACCCCCCACATGATTGTTTGTTCCATTGTACATCTCCATGCGAAGAAATAACAGAAAAATGTTAAACGGTTTTGATTTTATGCCAATTTTCCTCGATCGCTGCATGCTGTATCAATTGGCCGGTTACCCTACCACATCAAGTACTTGGATAGGCTCACCTAACAGTACGTTCATGTGTTAAATAACATTCAGTGGTGTTTTTTGGTCAACCACGGTAGACATATGTTGATTGTCGACTGAGTCAGTGACTGATGAAGTACATTTTAAGCACATATTCATCAGAATAACTAGTTTGGTCACCAGCTAAAGGGTTATTATGTTACACTACGAACATGTAGATATTGCTTGCTGCTTGAAGTAGGTACCTACCATGAACACACTGCACGTTTATGACCACGACCGATTCATCGGTGTTGCTCAAGTCGAACGTTCGATGCACTTCAAGTAGATGGCGGTAAGTCTTCTCGGGTGCATCGCATCACCGCTATCATCAGCTATTTGGCATATCCGTTGAGGTTTGACCAGGTGGGCATCATCGGGATTCTGAGACAATGGGTTACGCAATCGGCAGTACCGTTAACAATATATAATATTTTCATGAAAAATGTGCTTAGCCTATAAGCAAAAAGGTAGTAACGATGGATACAGTGGCGAAGCTGTTAAAACTTCAACTTTTTTAAGCTGCAGGTAGGGGTCCTTTTCGAGCAACTTTAATTGTGCGTTTTTCTGTATTTCGTATTTTATTGCAAATTGCTTTCAGAACTTTTCGAAATTTTCAAAAAGGTTATTCAGAGCATTCACTGTTCAATTCCACATTAGCCTAAGCAAATATAACGAAAAAACATCAAACGGTTTTCATTTTACAGCGATTTTATTATACCATTACCTTACTGTCTCAAATAGCCCCACTGTCTCAAATAGCCCCACTTTACGGTACCTAAAGCAATAGCCATTCATACTTTTATGCAACAAATCAATTTGTCATTTGCACACAGCATCCATTCCCAGACGAATTTCCTCTCCGGTCGATTGCCATTCATATTCCCAGACTGTGCGTGCACCCGTTTTCCTCCTGATCAGTTCCCGGGTGCGGTTATTCAGAGCAGTATAAAGACCCGGGACAGGGAAGGTCAGACATCAGTCTCTGCTGCTCCATTCTCTGCAAACATGAAGGTAACCAATGCATGATAGATTGAAACGCCTGAACCTACTTATCTGAAATGCATATTGCTTGGTTGACTCATTCATTGACGCTTTTGTAGTTTCACGATTTACATTTCATGTAACACTAACAACCTTACGCACTTGAGAGTCTTCTGGTGCTGTGTTTTATATATCGACCCCCATATCATGAAAAATATTACAAATAAAGTTCAATTCATTGCTTTTTCTCCTTTCAGCTGTTCGTGCTGTCTGCGCTGGTGGCTGTCGTCTCGGCCGGCGGATATAGCCGTCCGCTCGCAGGAGGACGTCTTGGAGGTCAGGTCGGAGCTCTCCAGGGCTCCCTCGGACACGGTCTTGGAGGAGCCTACGGGCCAGGAAACTCCCTGGACTACTACGCAGTGCCCGACTACAACACCGGCTACTCCGTGAAGGACGCCTACTCGGGCGTGGACATCGACTCAAAGGAGAACCGTCTCGGTGATCGCACCGAGGGCTCGTACTCTACGCTGCTTCCCGACGGCCGCAGGCAGATCGTCACCTACTGGGTGGACGGCAACTCGGGCTACAACGCCAGGGTGACCTACGAGGGCGTGGCGCACCATCCGCAGACCACGCCCCTCGGCTATGGGCGGTCCGCCGCAGGGCTGGGCTCACTTGCTCTGGGCGCCTCTGGCGGTTCTGACTACGGAGTTGGAGGCGGTGCGGCCTTTGGTGGTGGCTCCGGACTGGGTTTGGGCGGTGCTCTCGGTGCCGGTTACCGAGGGTCGGGTGTGGTGTACCGCAGTGCCGCCGGCAGGGGCTACGGCGGACTCTGATCAGTGTTGAAGGACATGGGAGTGGAACGCGAATATTTTGTGGTCATGTAAATGACGCTTAGGTATTTAGAGATGTACAAATATACGTGAGACATAATTTGAGTTTTTCATTCTCTGTCAAGATTCAAAGAAAAAGATAAAGATAAAACAAGTAAAATCAAAATTGTTTAGGATGTCCAATCAAAGAAACACAAACAGGTATCGTTGCATGGGCAAATATTTGACCACAATAGTCTTCATTGCCAACGAAATTCCGTCACATGCAAACTATAAGGAACAAACACGTGACGTGTTAGGCCTTAAAACAACGTCAGTTACGTGTGTTATTGGGATGTTCTCACTTTCTTATAGCTATAGGTATCAGAGCTTTCCCTAACATAATGTTAAAAGTTTTGCATTTTGTGACGTCTCGCCTTTTTGACTTTCGACATAACAAATACGAACCTGACCGATCATACGATTATATGAAAACTGTATTGACTGTAGTCATGTAGGTATATATATGTGGAATGTAGACTGCTTGTGGCGGCCGTCTGGCTGAGCAATGACCAATCGTTGGCGTTCATATGAACAGGCGAGGAAAAAAAGTGGACAAAAATGAGGATAAAACATTTGTTTGCCTTTAAAGATAACATATTCGAGTGGAGTTACCTACTTCATAGCCACTGGAAGCGATAGTAAAATAAGCGGTCCATAAGCTTTCAAGCTTGAGATGGACAAGTGGAAAAAAAAAAAACAATAAATAATCCTAGGGAGTGCTGCATTTGCGAGCCATCGCTTACCCCTCGCCGGCCGAGAGGGGGGGGCGGGTACCGCCCCCCCCCCCATAGGGTTTTTCGCGATAGCTCCGAATACGCTGGCGATAGAGAGCTGAAACTTGGCATACCTGACCTTTGATTCAAGCCGGATCTTTTGACACCAACCGCATTTTTGGGTCAGGTCAGGTCACTGACCTATGATGTCATAAGTGAACCTCTGCACGGTCTTCAGATGTCGCAACTTCGCAACGCCCTCACTGCCAGAGGAGATGTCACAGGGAAATGAAACTTGCAGGATCTAGTATCCATTATGAGTCTCACAATTTGTATATCTCGGATTTTTCCTAAAGGTCATATGAGATCAGGTCATTTTCGTGACCTCACCATTATAAGTCAATGGGGAAAAATTAAAACTGCTATTCTGGCGCCGGGAACGATCTCCAACTATCTCAAGCACACAGAATCGTGATTTGATGCACTCCTTGCAAGGTTAGATGCGTCACTTTTGGAATGTTGACCTTGCGTGACGTCATTTATGACGTCATCAGGGTCAAATTAGTTTGTCGTCAATAACTCTTGATCAAATTGAGCTAGCGAGTCGCAGAAGCCACCAATGGACTCAGGAAGACCTGCCGAATCGAATGATATGCAACATGACCTCTTCTGACCAACTTCGTGACCTGGGGGTGCTGACCTGACCTTGACCTCAGGTCAACACCCCAAGTTGACCTGACCCAAACAAAAAGTATACCATTCGACGCGCCTGAGCAAGGCAAACACGATGCTGCCAAAATCGCGGCTCTGCGGCCGTTTTTGGCGAAGTTATTCAACAAAAACTGAACCGTACCTTGGAGCACTTGACCTGACCTCAGATGTCACCGGTTGACCTAGGACCTTAAAATCGGGTACCAATCTCTGCGTCTCGAACGGTGCACACGCTCGTTTTTTCTGCGACGCGCTAGCTCCACCAGGGGCGAAACGGCGAGGAGGGTCGTACCCGCCCCCCCCCCCTCGGCCGGCGCGTATGTAGAAAACCAATAGGTCCGGCGAGGGTTAAATACTGAACCACGACACCTACATGATGATCTCAAACATACAAAATTGCACGTGAGTTCACAGGACTCGTGCCTGGGTATGATATCCAGCTTGTCATTCCTTTAGTTCTCACGGCCTTTCCCAATTACGCCCCAGTTTAATATCTGCCAAGGATATGGATTATCCGCGGAATGATGCCATCCGATGTTCGAGTCTCGACTCACAGCTGTGGGAAATCTCTGTCGCAGTATTGGAATAATGCTGCACGCGCCGTTCGTCACACCGCTGCTCCGCATTGTATGCTTTCTGCAGCGCAGACAGTAGCCTGTAGCGATCTGTAGAACAACTGACTGGAGAGAAAGCTTGCGAATGGGTGTGCTGATCGCCTGCAAGGAAGAAAAGGGTAGAAACGGACTGCTGACATTAGCAATGAGTTCATGGGGTTATGAGTTTTGATTAATAGCTCAGCTTCCAAAAGATTATGAATGATGAAAACTGAAAATAATAAATTTAATGTAAACTTTCTAAAGAAGTACCCATATGTTTACCATCGCTAATAGCTGAAAGGAGTAAAGGCGATTTTGAAAAGAAAATCGAGCATTTATACGACACCTCTTCGTGATAACAGTTAGAAGACAACAATGATGAGCACAACAGTTGAAAACAACACCTACAAACGTTGCAAGTGTCACACCAAGTAGTTGGCACCGTCAAGAAACGAGGGAGGAAAGCATGGATAAGACATCGATGGCTTATATCAGTAGCGGCGGAACACCTTCAATTTAAGGGGGGGGCACTGCCGACTTTTGGTCCCATTCTTTCCATGCAAAGCCCATAGGGCTAATGTTAAAATGCCAAAATCAAAGGGGGGCACGGTGCCCCGGTGCCCTCCCCCCGTTCCGCCGACTATTGCTTATATGAGCCTTTTTCACGACAGACCATGTGACGAATGCACCTAATTTGACCAAATATGCACCAAATCTCTTTTACAATAAATATCTTCATATTATCAATTAATTGCAGTGTTTCAGTCCAAGATAATGCCTGATGATTGGAAAAATGATGCCTATAAGCATCTGTGGAGCCCAAACTGATAACTTTTAAGAAACCACTGAACCTAATTTGACCAACTCTGTAGTCTGTACCTAATCTTCGCCAAATGTGTACCAGATGGCCGTCGTGAAAACGGTGAAAACGGCTATTATCAGAGGGGTGTTGAGAATCCGATCATTTCCACAAAGAGTAGCTTGGAATCAATGGCCGCCTAGGCATAACGGTAGCTAGTTCCGCCATCCGTCAGATTCCCATTCCTGCAAGCCGAACATTTAGCGCAAGCTGCAACGGAGGAAACTTTGCAATGATCTCACGCGCAACCCCCGCATCTGGTTCCACCAATCACTGTCACTCAGGAGCAGGTCCGTTGCAGCCGCACTGAAATGCCCTCGCCTCGGGCGCCTCTCACAAAACCGAAAAATTTCGAGTCACGTCACCATAGCAGCCTTCGTACCAGGCTGCCCTTGCACTTTACTGGTAACGCACGGCAGCAAACTCCGATTTTCCTCCCGGTTAAAGTGAGAGGGCGTGGCATTGACTCTGGGAGAGATTGCTCGCAGAACAAACGTATATAACCCAGGTTTGTGGGGAGGAATGTATCAGTTTATTGCTGACCACCATAGCAGACATGAAGGTAAGAAAGACTGAACCATCGCCCCCAGAACGCTAGCTACGCATTATATGTAATGTAGACTTAGACGTGGACTACAAGCGCTTCCTCTTGTTCTTGAGTGTCACTAATAATGCCTGGAGAGTAGTCTGAAAAGCATTAAGCTATTATGATTATTTGTGACAATCCCAACACAATGAAGGGCTTTACCTTTGCATGTTAGCTAAGCTTGTTTCAATGACTGAATCTCACGTTTTCAATAGAATAGTTTGGCTTGAAAAGGCCTAGAGATGCGATTGCTACATGAGCATAAACGATCGCCTCTTAGACTCCATCCAACCAATTTCATTAATTCATTCCCATCAGAACGTTGCCACTCACCAGTAACCAAAAATTTGTTTTCCTTTTCAGCTGATCGTTTTGACCACCCTCGTGGCCGCGGCCTCGGCCTCTGGTAGCCTCGGTTACCATGGAAACGCCCTCGGCGGCGGCGCCCCGTTCCGCGGAGTCGCGGGCGCCGGTTTCCAGGGTGTCGCCGGGGGCGCCGGCTACGGCTCCCAGGACTACTACGCCAAGCCCAACTACAACTACGGCTACTCGGTGAAGGACCCGTACTCGGGTGTGGACATTGACGCCCAGGAGAACCGCTACGGCTACCAGACGCAGGGCTCCTACGGCACCACACTGCCCGACGGCCGCAGGCAGAACGTCAACTACGTCGTGGACGGCGACTCGGGCTTCGTGGCGGACGTGCAGTACTACGGCGTGGCACAGCACCCGAGCACGCCCATCAACGCCGGCTACGGCAAGGCCGGTCTTAGAGCTGGAGCTCTTCGTGGCGGCGCTGGGCTCCGTGGGGCTACCCTGGGAGGCGCTGGCTACTCTGGAGCTGCCCTGGGCGGCGCTGGCTACTCTGGAGCTGCCCTGGGCGGCGCTGGCTACTCTGGAGCTGCCCTGGGCCGTGGTCCTTTCAGTGGTGCTGGCTTCCGCAGGGCTGCTGGTTTCGGTGGTGCTGGTTACGGTGGTTCTGGTTACTCTGGTGCTGCGCTGGGCGGTGGCCTGTTCCGCGGTGCTCGTTTCGGTAGGTCCGGTCTCCGCAGTGGTTACGGAGGCTGCACGGGATACAGCTGCTAGAAAACCCGTATGACATACCAAAAAAGATAGCGTCTGTGTTAATTTGTCCTGCGCTTTTTCACTGTCACGTTCGTGATGATCTGGTTATCTCATGTGCCACGAGCTGCTGCCGTGAGGTATTCTTGAATACAGTTTGATGATGCTAAGTGTGATACAAAAAGAGTACTAGACACAAACATTGATATCAGCAATAGAAGACACTGAGTCGCTATTACGGTGCTTTGTTGACTGACGGGTTAACGTTTTGGCCCCTTCCTGTCTCTTCTCCTCTATGCGTGTACTGCCGATATCCATCAAAAATCTGTCAAACGACATCTTTTACTCATGGGGATGTTTTATTTTTCAGCAAAGGCGAAACATCTTTTTATCGTCCCGGGGATCAGGAGGACAAAGATAAAGGACCAAATTCGCTGACGGAATGCATTCAAGGTTTTCCTTTTTGACTGCCAGCAGAAGCTTTGACTCCTTATCTTTATCTCACGTCTGTTTACCCTTCCCAGTGAATATCACTCAGATTATACTTTACCTCATGCAACTGTATGGGATAAATAATTTCGGCCGAGTTATTTGGCTTCGTGTACAAATTTCCACACAGATGGCGAACTTTGTAATCAAGACACAGTGGGTGCCAGGAGCCTTTCACGTATCCGGGTTGAAACTGATTGAAGCAGTGCATGCCTTCGTTGACATCGCACACCACATGGAAGTCTTTGGTGAGCGCCGCATGCTGCCCGTCTACTGTGCGGCAGTCGATATCCAAAGGAGTGCGTCCTGTGGACGAGATGAACAGGATGGTGCTTGTTAATCGATAGTGTTCTCAATTCTCATGCATAAAGATCAGGCTAAATCCCATAATATTTTACATGCTTTTGGTATACAATGGTAAAAGTGTATACATCAGCTGTTATGCATTTTTAGAACGGACTTTGCTTCTGATATTGCTAAAGAATTGAATAAATGACATTCGAAATTAACTTTCATAAAACTTGTTGTTAGAATTACGATATTATTGCACTCTATAAAGTGGAGAATCGTCCTTCCTTGCTACGATCAGTTCCTAGAGACATAGGGCCGTCTTTATTGGCGTTTATTGACCAGTGAATACCTCAGTCTGCATCTCTTACCATCAGGACAGCCAGGCCGGGTGTCGGCTCGCGTTTCACAGTCACAGTGGCCGCTGGGGTTATCGATATCACTCCAGGCGGTCCACTTAAGATGGCGGCACTTGTCCGTCCAGCAGAGCAGTCGGATCTGTCGTGATCACAAAGGCGCGAGTCAACATTACCGAGCAGTCGGATCAGTCGTATTCACAAAGGAACGAGACACGAGTCAACATTACCAAGCGGTACGCGGGACGGCGCCGGTGGGGGCGGGCCGCCCGCCTGGAGCGCCGGGGAGGTACCCCACAGATCTCCCCGGCTGGGGAGGCAGCGTTCAGTTCTCCCCGGGGCCGGGGCGGGCCATTCCTCATGCATTGGTGAATGGTACCGCCGCGGCGTGCGCCCTGGCCTGGCCAGGCGGGCCGCAGGAGTGTGAGACTGGGAGAGTGCTGGCATGGAAATGTTTGCTCGCACTAATCACCATATCAGGCCCCATCTCTCCCGATGACTCTCTTGCAACAAGCTCGACTTAGCTGGAGGGCATCGGAAGGGATGGCAAGACAACATGCATGAATAAGCCCAAACCTGATTTACCCCACTAATGTCCCGTTCCAAGTGAGTGTGTTCCTCACTAACAATGTACGGTTGAGCCTTTAGCGGACAGTTTATGCTGGAATTGGCATTAACTACTATGGCTCTCTGTATCTACTAACCAAGATAAATAATATCATACGCAGTCAGTTCAGCTTCTTTTATGTATGTTTTTCCTCTTCTTAGCAGGGAGTGCTGCGACAATTTTCAAATTTGATTTTGATTTTGATGTTAACGTACATAGACATAGACATGTATTTGCGACCCTTCCACATCCATGGTGGCTATTCCGAGACGCGCGTCAATAAAATAGAAACTTGATATACATAAAACACACCTGAGGTAAAATGAACACATTTACAATGCAGCCAGGTACTCATGAAAGGCGATTGTACCACACACACAAACTGTTCAACACCCGCTCTGACATTCGCCGGCAGCACCTAACCAGTGTCACGCAGCAGCCAGTCAGTCACTCGAGTCTTAAATCTGGTGATTCCCACTTCGCGAATGTCTTGCGGAAGTTTATTGTATGCATCAATGCCGCTGAAATATAGTCTGCGAGCACCTGGGTTTGTTTTCACACTCGGCCGCTGCAGCAGACCGCGTATCCTGGTGCTGTGCTGATGGTTACTTGTGACCAGGTGTTCAACGATGCCGACCGGGGCTCCAGTGGTGCGCACCCTATGTACGTAAGGGTTCTGTGCTTTGCTTGAACTGAGGGTGGGGGCACTCCTGGTCCTGATCATGGGTAACGGACTATTAGTTAGAAGAAAAAAAATTCCCTCCATGTGCTGATTCGATTCCCAGCTTTAAATTATCTAAAAAGTATACCATGCCTCACTTTAAACTTCGCAGAGCATTGTAAAAAAAAAAAAACACGCTCGGCAATCGTTTTTCTTTCTTGCGCTAAAAGAATAGCTCCTCATTCCCCATCACCTACAGGGTGTCCCAGAATTACCCGGACATTTATTTTCTGGCTAAAAGTACGACTGCGCTCGCTTCTAATGATATACAAGCATCATACTTTTATAAGATATCCCTTAGCTATCGAGATTGGGGACTGTGTGCTTTTGGTGGCCGGTAACGACTCGAATCAATTATTATCCAGAGTCAAGTAAGAGTAGTCCTTTTCCGTTTTCAGCTTAAGCCACTAATAGGCAACCATGGTGAATCAACTCCCGTTCTCAACTTTGTAAACGGACTTTCGGCATGGTTTTTGCTGGAGAGCTTCCGCAGCTCAGCTGCAAGCAGTTAGGATTGAGCAAAGCGCAATTATATCAGCTAACGAAGCCAGAGAGAGCAAGAGATAAACCTGATTGACAAGCTTGGGCTCGGCCAAAAAGGGCCATGCACCAGTTGTCAAACAAGTGGTTGCTTGTCATAGACAACAAACGTCACCGATCTAGCTAAAAACTAGCTAAACAATAGATCAGGATTATCTACAAAACATTAGTCTTCTTTGCACCACTATCTTCGACAAAATTTTGGAATTTGGGGTCCTTCGCCAGAAAAATATGCGAAAACTATGGGAAAAGCAGCGCAAATCACTACAATTCATCCCAAAAACATAACATATACAACAAAACAGTATATTGAGGCACACTTTGTGGTCTAACGAAGGTATTATGTCATTTGAACCGCCCGGAAAAGGCGTGTGTGAACGTCAGATGGCTACAATGCCCCAACAGCAGAGACGGCCAGGCACCCGTCGAAAATCAAATTGTGGGACATTTTGAGCCACCGTGCACTCATTGGGCTTGATATGATGGCCCAAAGACAACCGTTAGCACAGAGTACTACTGCGGTAATATTCTACCAGTGCGAAAACTGGATGCCGTGAACCAAATGGCCATGAGCGGGTTTGTTTTGAAAACCAAATCTGTTGGAAGCCAAAGGTTGCGCAATGTTCAGACATGGAGCTTCTCCACTCCAGATGTAAAAAACGCAGCAAAAGTGGCGTAGGCAGAAATTTTTGTTTTGGGGGATAATACCTTATGGCCTGGGAACACCTTGATGTCAAGTTTATCTTATATGATCGTATTATCCTCCGGCAAGAGGTCAAAGAAAACAGGCCTACACCCAGGTTCGGGAGACCCGTAAAACAACTGAGACCAGCAATGGCTGGCATTTTCCATCATTGTCGGCTGATCTTGTAACAAGCGTATCTATTGCATGTGCAATTTCACAGCCACCCTAGTTGACTATATAGGACGGTAAAAAGAAAAAAGCGCAATCATGTTTGCCTTATTTTATACGCTAATTAACAATGTCCGGGTAATTATGGGACACCCTGTACCTACGCATTTGGCAGCGAGCTCAATAAATTTTCGATCGCCTTTCGCGGACCGTATTTTGCACTCCACATCACTCTCAACTCTCACCTCCACTGCGTTCTTACTTCTCACTTTTCCCTCAACCCTCAGTCTCACCTCATAATCATGACATTTGCCGCGAGATAGATACTTGTTCTGACACCTCATGCCTTCGGCGAGGGAGCAGCGGGCATACTTAGGTGATATGGAAGCATCTCCGGTTTGATACCAGTGACGCTTGGTGGAGGCCTCCCGACACTGTACCTGAAAGAGAAAAGAGTAGAAATATCAGCTGCATGGCCAATAAAGAGTAGCACACATTGAGTTAGTTTGTTATTTACCTGACAATGATTAAGTGCGATATACAGGAACTGATCGTCAGGCTAAGCTGGCCCAGTAGAAGTGTTAGGGCCAAGTAAACCTCAGCTTTCATTGAACAAGGTCTCTTTGATTCAAGTTGAATCAAAACGCCGGATGTTCACCATTGCATATTGCACTCGGTACAAACCTGCACGGGGTTATTGCAGACGATGCCCCTCCGCGCCAGCTCACGGGTCACCCGGCCAGGTCGGCTCCCCTCCACGTCCAGATTGAAGCCGATCAGCTCGTAGTCGCCACCGTCAGTTGTATTTTGGTCGGCATTAATCCATGGAGTCCACTGAAGACATTCGTGGCTATATGCGTCTTGCGGGTTTGGAGAAGAGAAACATTATTAGACTTTGCATGATGAGCGGCTAGGTATACAGGGGGACTGTTTGACGAGGGTTCTTGCGAAGGCGACAGAGACAAGGGCGACAGATCCCGAACAGCTCGGTCCTCATTAGCTTTCAATTTAGCGAAGCTGATGAATTAAGAAACGGTCAGTGTCAGAGGTTCTTCTACAAAGCCCCTCATGAATGCCGCTAAAGCCCCTAATGAAATTCGGTGTTTCGTGCATTGTAACATTTTTTTGTTTATCCCAAAAGAAAAATGTTTTTGGGATTACACAAAGATGAAAAAATGCGACGACATGCAGTATGCACCCTCAAATTTAGGTTTATGACGTTTCGCAGGAGCGAAGCTAATTATGAATAATCGTTTTTAAGAATGTCCGGGGCCCCCTAATAGAGTAACAGTCTTACTTGCCGTCGCAGAGATGGCAAACAGCACTGCCAAGAGACCTGCCGCTAAAGCCATCGCCTCCAGGCTCGTAAAGACCGACTACCAAAACTTTGTTTTTATGTAAAAACACTCCCTTTGCTAATGAAGCACACACAAGGCAGCTATTTAGCATAAATCGTGATTTAAACACAAAGCACCGAACTGACAACAGTGTGTGTGTAGTAATGCTAAACACTGTTGCAGAAGGGCCTGAGTTTGTTGCCTTTTGTACCCTTTCTGATCATGATGCAATGTAACCCAACTATTGCTAAGCCGATGGCTCCTGTCAATCTAACGGTGAAAAGTCAACACTGCCAGTTTTTCCTTTCTGGACGCGCATTGTCACCGTTGTGTTGTGGCGGGCAATAACTGAAAGGTCCTGTTATTTGACAGACAGGTAATTCACTCGCTTCGCTTTAACTAGTCTATGCTACAGATATTTCAATGCGTCTTTGCACCCCTGCGCCCGATGCTAATGTTTGTTTGCTAGAGACAAGTGGCAAAATACGGAAAAAATAGTGCACGGACAAATAGTGCAATCTTCCTTTGTGCTTATATTGCATCCTGATGAAGATTTAATAATCGAAACGCGTCCATGCACTATTTGTTCCGTGTCTTACTGCTGGTGCTTCTGCTACAAAAGAAGATTATTCACAAAGGGGTTGGCGAGTCGATCAGTTATCTATTGACATATCTGGCTTTTGATGTCACAAAATACGCCCGGTTATATATGACAAGATATAACCGGTTTTTTCCGCGACACAACGAGCGTCTTCTTTGGGGCGGCCCCGGAGCCGGGCCGGCCTCCGTTCGGCGGCAGGCGGGCGGCCGCCTGCGCCCCCGGGCGGCAAGGCCGCTAAGGCGGCGGCCTCATCTGATTGGTGGAGCGACTTGTGTCACGTGACGGTGACGGCGCGGGGTTTGAGTGCATTTGCGCGGTCACTCTGTTCTAAGCCGCCCGGTCTGACGCAAGTCAGCAGTGCTCTCGCTCTGAAATGTTTTTGCGTTTTACTGCGGTCGTGTTCAGTGGAAGCTGGAAGACATCAAGGGGAGTATAAGTTCGGTTTTATATCAATGTTATATTGATTGACGAGGATGTTTTTTTTTTCCTTTCGGGGTTTTTATGTTTATTTTTTACTGGCTTGTTGTTTCTGTCTGATTTTTTTTTTCGGCATGAGGTCTGGTTTTTTGTGTTTATGTTATGCTATCACGGTAAGGAGAGGGTCGATGAGCATTGAGCAATGGGTCGGCAAATGCCCGGTATTATAGGTTCTTTGAAGGTAAGATGAAACAACGAAACTTGGACTGCTGGTAGAAATAGGCTTGGTTGTTTTTCAGATTTTGGGAGATTGGGTGTAGGTATTTGCTTGGTGTAACATAGCTGTAAATGTTTTTTTGTTTTTTCCCTGGAACGGAGCGCCGGACTTTGCCATTCTACACTCCGTGTGAGTGGAATCAGCTCATGCTTTCTCGGTGTAGCAGCTCAGAGTGCACGGCCTGGCCGGCGTAGGGTTTGGTGGCCACGTGGTGTTGGCCGGTGGTTGTACAGAGAGTTGGTAGAATTGCCGTTTTGTGGTGCCTGGTGTTGGTTGAACTGTGGTTCCCATACAGGTGAACGGTTACTGGCGTAAGGTGTGCCAGGTGGGCGTACCCCGTGGAGAATGAGCTGCTGGTGATGTTGGCTCTGTCCGAGCGTGTCCGAACGGGGTTTTCATAAGTGGGTTAGGGATTGTTCATAACAAGGGTACCAACTACCGGGTGAGACTTGAGAGGGTAAATGGAGTTCATGCTAAGGATAACCAATGCAATGGTATTGGTCTAAGTTGGTATTGTTATCTGGTGTTGATAGGTTGGAATGAAAGGTTTAGTGGGTGATACAGAGGTACAGAAGTCATACAGTGGAACCCAGTTTGGGTGTGATAAGTCTCGGCGGACTAGGATATTATGGATTAGATGGGGAATTATGTAAGATGGTTTTGGGATGCATTAGCGATAGCATAGTAAGTTACAGGCTATTACCCAGAGGAAGTTTTCACACCCATGTTTAAAGGCTGCCGTAGGTAGGCATGTCATTTTCTAGGATGCAATTTTAGGGTAGCCCATGATTGTGTGGCTCTCACTCTGCATTGAGGTACGAGTTAACTGTGTTTCGTTTTTTTATGGTAGTGGCGTTTGTAAATCTTTTTTTTTTGCCAGAGTGGGGTGCCTTTCTTGTCGTTGGTCAATAGAGCATTGCCTAGGCATGCATAAGCGACAATCATCATAGTAATATTGGTATGCAATATGCATATCCTGCCGATATGTCATCACACGCATTGTGAGGTAAATGGCCCCGGTATATATAACCCCCTTTTGTTAAGAGATTTCGGCTAAAAATGGTTGTGACACAATCTGTTTTTTCTTCTTCTTCCATGGCTTGGTGGTTGGCATCCGACTCTGAACGGCGACGGATCGGCACACTCGGCGGGGCCGGCCCGCTTTACCAGAGTCTTCTCTGGCCGCTGAAGGATTCCTTCACAGCTCCTGTGTCAGCTGAGGGAGTTCCGACCCCTCCCAGCTCATCTTGCTCCAGTGGTGCTGCCTAGCAGGTCTTACGGGACATCGTCAGGTATAGGCCAAGGTGGCCGGGGTTTTGAAAGGTACGTTATTCCATGTACGGGGCCCGGTACATATCTGTTAATGGAGGTTCTAGGGGACCCGATAGGGTGGATTGTGAACGCTTGGGCGTGGGCGATATCGGCATTTTTGATGGGATGTTTGGTTCCACCAATAGGGACATGAGCGCAATGCTGGTGGAAAGTAAGATACTATGGTAGTAATAAAATTGTGATAAAATCGTTAGGCGAAGCCCGAAGATAAAAAATGAATCTATAGCAAGTCCAACGTTAGACGTGTTTTCAACCTTGGTTTGCTGCTGCTGCTGAGGGTTGTTAAATCGTCTGTAACTATCTTCAAAGCGGTCTATTTCTTAGCAAATTATTTCTACTTGTCGCTATAAAATATGAGATGACCTTTCTCCTGCAAAACAGCGAATGAACATTGAACAATACAGGTTAGGTACTATCATTAATAGTTAAAATGAAGGAAGTCAGTAGGTATGCGTTGTTAGGACTGGGAGTTCCCCTCAGTGTACCAAAATTTTATTTTGGCTTGGGTGGTCAAAGGAAAATTCCTACAGGGGGCCGGGAACAATTTTCAAGGTGGGGGTGAGCATATAAAATACCTGACATGATGCATATGAAACGGTGGCGTAGCTAGGGGTCTAAGGGGACACGTACCCCACCTCCCCATCGGGTTCAAAGGGAGCCTCGCTCGGGTCCGAGGGGCCCTGCGGCGCCATTTGACCACTGGGGGTTAACAATGGCCATATAGAAGGGCCCCATGGGGCTCGTTAGAGCTCCTCATGGACCCTAATTGCCACACTAAGATCTCTTTCAGGGCCCCACGCCGGATTCTGAGGGCCTCCTGGGCCTTTGTAAGGGCCCCTCAGTGGTCTCCAAAGGTCCGTTACTGGCCTCTGAAAGTTCTTACCGGCCTATGAGGGCCCGGTTCTAGGGGCATTTCCCGCCTGTGATGGTCCCACGATTATTTTTCTGATGGCCCTATAACGGCAACTGTGGGGGCCCTAGTCGGCGCCTATGAGGGCCCACACCGGTGTCTGAGGGTTTCACATCCCCAACTCTGAGTGCCTACACTAGTGCCCATTAATGCCCTATATCGGCGACTCTGAGAGCGAGGACCCGAATCCCTACCCTACCCAATACTGCGCATCTAAAGGCCACCCACTGGTGACTTCTGAGGGCCCCACACCGGTCCGTTGACTCTCAGGGCCCCACCGGCGTATGATAGTACCATGCCGGTCTCTAATGACCCCACAGAACTTCTTCTGCTGGCCTAAGGGCCTCTTGCCGGTCACTGAGAACCCCCTGCCGGCTTGTAGAGGGTTCGCGTCAGCAGCTCAGGCCCCACACCCGTCTGTAACGGCTCTACACCAGCGTCTATGGGGGCCCACAGCTACGCCTGTAAGGACCCTCACCGGCGCCTCTGAGAGAATCATACTGGCACCTCTGAGCGCCCACACCGGCACCTGCATGACATTCCCACACCAGTGCCTCTAAAGGCCCCTTACCGGCGGCTCTGAGGGCCCTACGCCGGTGATTCTGAGGATGCTAACGATAACCGAAGACACCATACAAGCCCTTAGTGTCGCTGAGCTTTTAATCCCATACCGGCCTTCCAAGGACGCCGCGTAAGTGCACTCATTGCCCCACACCCCTCCCTTACACCCGGAGCGGGTAACCTGTGTTATACCTGTAGCAACGATTTTACCACCGTTGTGCGTTGGGTATTTCTCAAGGTTGACTCAAAATGGTCCAGTATAAAAGCTGGCCTGCCAAACTTATGGCCAAGGCCAGGCCCAAACAAAAGCGGGATGACAACGGCAGATGTCAAATCGATACTGTAACAGCAGAAACCATTCAGATGGCAAGGAAAATGCCGGGTGTTGATGTTTAGATGTATAAAGGAAACAAGAGGAAGTCCGGAAAAGGGAGGAAAGATCCTTTCTTGCTGCCTCAATGTTGAGGGGGCGCCGTCCCCTCGGCTCTCAGGTGGGGGGGGGGGGGCAAGCGCCCCCGCTGCCCACCTGTTTCCCGAGTCTATGAAAATTACTCACCAAATAAGGGATAAGGGTGGAAAATTGATGGTCAGATAAGGCCTAAAAAGAGTGGAAAAAGAATGTACAGCAAAATTTAATACAAGACTGGTATGTGGGAAGTAAAATGGTTATCGATCCATGCAAATGCTTTTTGTTGGTAAAGTTGGGAGTGGAAAATGGGCTATTAAAAAATGGAGGCGAGTGAAAAATGATTTTCATTTGGATGTCGTTTCCCACCTAAATCAACAAAGTTTGGGGCACTGGTACCCCTCGCCAGCATCAGAGTTGACGTCACTCAGGACCTGCCTATGGTTGGTTGGTGGGTGAGTTACTGTACCTTCTATGGGTGACATTGAGCCAGCTCGGCGTTTGGAGGCAGTAAGCACCTCCTAAACGTGTCGAGCCAGGAAGCAACGGTAACCTTTATACCCATATTGGCCTGTTTACAGCGTAGGGGCTCTGTATGCCGGTCATTTGGTCCCTGATCAATCCGGAGCTTCGCGGAAAGGCAAGCTTGTTGCCCGTGGCGGGTGATGCGGATAGGTACTATCAGATTTCAAAAGCGGGTATTTTTGATATTCAGGTCGGGTAATTGCCCTAGACATTCGGAGAATCTTGGGATGCCCAATTCTGCAAGTCCTGGGTGAAGCTCGCTAGTCTGCCCGGGGGTGTCCCCTTCTACAACGACCCCGGGGCAGCTCGCTAGTCTGCCCGGGGGGTGTCCCCTTCTACAACGACCCCGTGGCAGCTAGCTAGTCTGTCCGGGGGGTGTCCCCTTCTACAACGACCCCGGGGCAGCTCACTAGTCTGCCCGGGGGTGTCCCCTTCTACAACGACCCCGGGGCAGCTCGCTAGTCTGCCCGGGGGGTGTCCCCTTCCACAACGACCCCGGGGCAGCTCGCTAGTCTGCCCGGGGGGTGTCCCCTTCTACAACGACCCCGGGGCAGCTCGCTAGTCTGCCCGGGGGGGGGGTGTCCCCTTCTACAACGACCCCGGGGCAGCTCGCTAGTCTGCCCGGGGGTATCCCCTTCTACACGACCCCGGGGCAGCTCGCTAGTCTGCCCGGGGGTATCCCCTTCTACAACGACCCCGAGGCAGCTCGCTAGTCTGCCCGGGGGTGTCCTCTCCTGCAAAGGCCTCGGGCAGCTCGCTAGTCTGCCCGGGGTGCCCCCTTCTACAACGGCCTCGGGGCAGCTCGCTAGTCTGCCCCAGGGTGTCCCCTTCTACAACGACCCCGGGGCAGCTCGCTAGTCTGTCCGGGGGGTGGGGGGTGTCCCCTTCTACAACGGCCTCTGGGCAGTCTGCCCGCGGGCGTCCCCTCCTATAACAGCCTGATTCCTGGAGCGGGCTGAGAGCCCTCCCCTTTTTTTTGCTGGGCGGCTGTCAACGACCTTCGTTGATGCTGTTCTAACCCCTTCCAAAGTTATGGGAAAATTAATGGTCGCGCTGATAGGCATGTGCATAGGGTTCAAGGTAAAGGAAAATACAGCTTCTGTTGTCAGATGCCTCAGAACTCATGGATGTTTTTTTTCGGCGGGTATATCGAGGGCCTTTACTTGGTGGAGGCTATCATCGCAGTAGTGGCAAATGCTAGTGGTTGTTAGTCCTGTGAGGGCTTCGGTATAAATGCCGTAATATTGCTCTTCATTGGTGACCGCTGTATCGCTCACATTCATGTTGGCAGGTTTAAGGGATCGTGGCGTTTCTGGTAAGCTTCGGGCCAGGTTGAGGAAATAATTACCTTCCTTCAACCAAGCACGTATTTGGGTGGGTTCCGCCACTGGTCTCGACACTGGCGGCGACTGTAGGTCTTTTGTGTTAATTTGTATCCCCCATTCGGTCTGCTGGTCTCGGGAAGGGGGTGTTTTATTATGGCGCATTGGTGTCTGGGTGGATGTATTGAATGGGTGGGGACACCATTGCGCCGCGCGGGGGGAGGGGTGGCGGCCCGTTGGCAGGGCAGTCTCGGTTGAGACTTGTATACTTGCTAGTATGTTTGTGTCGTGTTCATTTGGGCTGAATATACCAATAGCCCCTTTTTGTACAGCTACTGTGTTTTCCTAGAGAGACTTGGTTGTGAGGTTTGCGCTGAGATTGGTTACGCATAGCATAGCTAATTGTCTCTATGTTTGCTGGCAGCTCGAAGGGGAAGCGGAAAATACGCCCGGTTATATATGACAAGATATAACCGGTTTTTCCGCGACACAACGAGCGTCTTCTTTGGGGCGGCCCCGGAGCCGGGCCGGCCTCCGTTCGGCGGCAGGCGGGCGGCCGCCTGCGCCCCCGGGCGGCAAGGCCGCTAAGGCGGCGGCCTCATCTGATTGGTGGAGCGACTTGTGTCACGTGACGGTGACGGCGCGGGGTTTGAGTGCATTTGCGCGGTCACTCTGTTCTAAGCCGCCCGGTCTGACGCAAGTCAGCAGTGCTCTCGCTCTGAAATGTTTTTGCGTTTCCCACCCACCCACCACCATTTTTGTTTTTTTTTTTACACGCACCACACTCTTAAATAAAGATGGGTTTTTTCCACAAAAGGTGGTTTTTTCCCCAGCTAGGTCCCCCGGTTTTTTTCTAGTTAGGACTTTTTCCGGGGGAGGACACACACGACAGGGTTTCTAGTTTGGGTGGGGACACCATTGCGCCGCGCGGGGGGAGGGGTGGCGGCCCGTTGGCAGGGCAGTCTCGGTTGAGACTTGTATACTTGCTAGTATGTTTGTGTCGTGTTCATTTGGGCTGAATATACCAATAGCCCCTTTTTGTACAGCTACTGTGTTTTCCTAGAGAGACTTGGTTGTGAGGTTTGCGCTGAGATTGGTTACGCATAGCATAGCTAATTGTCTCTATGTTTGCTGGCAGCTCGAAGGGGAAGCGGAAAATCACTTTACATGGTCTACAAATAAGACACGCACAATGACCAGATCCTCACGGACGTGACAGTGAAAAGACGCGGGACAAATTAACACAGACGCTATCTTTTTTGGCATGTCATACGGGTTTCTAGCAGCTGTAGCCCGTGCAGCCTCCGTAACCACTGCGGAGACCAGACCTACCGAAACGAGCACCGCGGAACAGGCCACCGCCCAGCGCAGCACCAGAGTAACCAGCACCACCGTAACCAGCACCACCGAAACCAGCAGCCCTGCGGAAGCCAGCGCCACCGAAAGCAGCGCCGCCCAGGGCAGCACCGGAGTAGCCAGCACCTCCCAGGGTAGCTCCAGAGTAGTCAGCGCCTCCCAGGGCAGCTCCAGAGTAGCCAGCGCCTCCCAGGGTAGCCCCACGGAGCCCAGCGCCGCCACGAAGAGCTCCAGCCCTAAGACCGGCCTTGCCGTAACCGGCGTTGATGGGCGTGCTCGGGTGCTGCGCCACGCCGTAGTACTGCACGTCCGCCTGGAAGCCCGAGTCGCCGTCCACGATGTAGTTGACGTTCTGCCTGCGGCCGTCGGGCAGTGTGGTGCCGTAGGAGCCCTGCGTCTGGTAGCCGTAGCGGTTCTCCTGGGCGTCAATGTCCACACCCGAGTACGGGTCCTTCACCGAGTAGCCGTAGTTGTAGTTGGGCTTGGCGTAGTAGTCCTGGGAACCGTAGCCGGCGCCCCCGGCGACGCCCTGGAAACCGGCGCCCGAGACTCCACGGAACGGGGCGCCGCCGCCGAGGGCGTTGCCATGGTAACCGAAGCTACCAGAGGCCGAGGCCGCGGCCACGAGGGTAGTCAACACGATCAGCTGAAAAGCAAAATTGTTTCGGTCATATTTTGTTTTCGAAATGGTCCCATGCACGGCGCTATAATTAAAATTGTTTTACCTTCACCGTTCATAGCCCTGGCGTTTCATAACGTTTCATTTTTTACCATGGATGCTATGAAATAAAACTCATTAATGCCTCTTCGAAGTACGAATGAAGTGGGCTAGTAACTATTTAAGGCTTAATACCATTTGTAGAACTCTTGAAGTCTAATAATTCACATGCCACTGATGAATGTGGTGCAGATATCTTACCTTCATATCTCTTCTCTCTGAGCTCAGGACTGATGCCGCCACCCTCGTTGTCCTGTCTTATATGCGGTACCCTTCATACTGTTCGCAGCCACGCCTTTTGAGGGAAGTGCCTTGGAACTGGGAGAGGAAAGTAGAACAAAAACGTGCACCGGACAGTAACCGGCTGAGACCCAGGAAAGGACGTCAAGAAGTTGCAAAACGCGTGTGAAAGAGTAACGATATTGGCTGCAGTTGAAGGAGGAAATGAGAGAGAGAGAGAGAGAGAGAGAGAGAGAGAGAGAGAGAGAGAGAGAGAGAGAGAGAGAGAGAGAGAGAGAGAGAGAGAGAGAGAGAGAGAGAGAGAGAGAGAGAGAGAGAGAGAGAGAGAGAGAGAGAGAGAGAGAGAGAGAGAGAGAAAGAGAGAGAGAGGAGAGAGAGAAAGAGAGAGAAAGAGAGGAGAGAGAGAGGATAGAGAGAGTGAGAGACTGATATATAGGTTATGTTTATCATCTACACAGAGGATAGCAGCATTATGCTGCTGTCTCATTATGCTGTCTCATTATGCTGCAGAACACAGAACATATGTTCTGTCTTTTTCGCCCAGCTCCTCGTGAGCACTGGTTGGTGTGGAGTTCGTTTTGTGTGACCTTTTGTATGCAATTGTTAGTTATTACTGGATATTTACCTTCTTCGGGAATGAAATGAAGTTAGGGAATAGGTATTTATCGTGACGACGTCCTATAATTCAACACAGTAAAGTGATGACACTTAATTAACTTTAGTATAAGGGCAATTGTTGAGCTATTGAAATCAATCAAAAGTTTCCCATTTTTACACCAGGAATAGGTGTTCTATATAGGCAACAACCACACCGTTCGGCGCAGCGCAGCTTGGCTCTTCGCCGGGTAACGGTGTGCCATTTGCTGCAGTCACTTTTCACTAATGTTGCGGGCATAGTTTGTCACCCATGATGTCTTTCAGCTTCCACCAGATTTATGATGTTCTTCTGGCTACGGGTTAGGAGCTTTGTAGCCTTGTCACAGCGTTCAATAACGTCAAAAACCCTCACCGATATCGTCTGAACACTCGCCACAACTCACTCCTGCCGCCATCTGGGTATCCTTAGTTCCAATAAGCCCCGCTAGAGAAGGCAGCGAAACCAGAGCTGATCACCAACAGGCAGCCAACACAGGCTCTGCCTGGACTTTCTGCGTTTTTGCATTCCTCGTTTTTTTTTTTTGCTTTTCTTTTGTTTTTCGTTATCATTGCGGTTTTGCTTCCCAATTCTAAAAGGCTTAAGATATTTGTGACCGGAAGCATCGACTATGTGGGATCGGATCGATCTATTGGTGTGCAGAAAACTATGATAGATGAGGTATAGCTAAATGAAAAGGTACCACGTGAGAAGAATTTCCTTTGTCCTTGCAATCATCAGGTTCAACCAGTCTGCATACTCATGGCTCATTGCTCACTCATTATCATCTCCGGGCTGGCGGTCAGCTCTACCAGAGAGAGCAAGTAGGGAGGAGAGGCCCTGGCCCTCCTTGGACTACATTGTCCCTCGTCGGACTATACCCTCTCCGGGGTGACCGTTGGAGCGGCAGGGTCGACCGTCCCATCACTGCCGCTGCAGTCATGTACCGTCGATGGTCATTGGTCCGCAGTCCTTGTCATCCTGTAGCTCTTCAATTATCTTTCTAGGTCAAAAGCGCTCGCCCCAATAAAACAACAAAGAACATGAGAAGTAAGTAAGCGGTGCATATGCAACAAAAAACTATAAATCAAACTGGGGTAGGTGACGACTGAATAAGGTCCAACAGGACAACTTTTTCGCGACGTATATATATATATAGATCAAAAACAAAACTCATCAGGAGGTCAATAATATGACTAGATAAGTGAAACTTTTTTAAATATAAAGGTACTGTATTATAGAAAGCCTTCGCAAACGCGTTTCGATTATATCATCTTCAGTGCTAGCTTCCCATAATACAAAAAGAAAATGGTACAAAAGTTCACAACACATCGCAAATACACACGCTGCAATTTTTTCTCTCACAATATCACGGGTAGAATGTTTTTATATACTTCTGGAATGCAAGACCGCAAATCGCCCCTCCTAAGGTGTAAAAGCTTATGGTTCGTACATGGCACACTTTGAATTAATGCCGACTCAAGAATTTTTCTGTGCGATCTCTTCAGACCTGATTTCACCGCACTGGCTTTATCCCACTTAGGTAGGTGACCCTCTGTTTCGGCATGTAACGTAATTGAGTTAGACAAATTATGATTTATCAAATCACGCTTGTGTTCAGTTACTCTGGTTTTAATAATAATAATAGGTCAATAATAGCCGTTTTCACGACGGGCTATCCTAATTTGACAAAATCTGCAACAAACCCCTTTCACAACAAATATCTTCATATGAGGAATTTATTTCAGTGATTTTTTCGAAAATAATGTCTGATATATCAGACAAATTTTAATCAGGTCTATAAGCAAATTATATCAAATTATAATTTGAAAAAGAGGTCTATAAGCAACTGTGCAACCCAAACAGACATCATTCAAGAAACACAATGAACCTTATTTGACCAAAGCTGCACCTAATCTGCACCAAATGTCGAATGTGTACCAGATGGCTGTCTTGAAAACGGCTATTGGATGGCGGAAGTAACCACAGTTTTAGGCATGCCTATATCTAAAGAAGAATGAGGAGGGCTATGATTCAGAGTTCAGACTCAGACGAAGTTCACAAGTGAACATTTATGACGCGTTTCTTTCGCGCTGCTTTGACAGAAAGTGGTTATGCATCAGGCTTCAGGCCTTCGCCGTTAGGGACGATTCGCAATAAACAATAAACGCTTGCCCGTAGACATAACCAGGGCATAGCTTCGCTATTCGCTTCGTTCTTTGTCGAACCCTGCTTCTCCAGTATACGAAGTGTTAATTGTGCAGTGTGCGGCGGTGTGCAGATGTTACACCAGAAACGCGTTAAAATGTCCCGCAAAGAAATTTAAGTAATGTAGCATGTATGTACGTCACATCAAGGTGAAAATGCTTCACTACCTACGCGTTGATATTTTTATACATGATACTCTTTCAATATGAATTACGTTTGTAAACTCTCAGTGTGGTTGAATTGGTCGTTTGGATGTGATGCACCAGTTTTAGACTTCCTCATCAGCAAACATTGATAATGAATTAAGCCACAAGCAAATATTAATAAATATAGGTAGCTCGCTCACTGATAGGCATGTGATGACAAAAAAATACGACAGTCCGCTGCAGTAATTGAGAGCCAATAGTTGGATGTGTTGTGGTTGAGCCTTGCAGAAAAATAGCCAACTGATTTTGCGTTTTTTATTGCATTTTAACAACACTAACAAATAAATACACTTTCACACAAACAATCACACATGACGATAAACAAAAACAGCGGACGAAATTTATCAACACACGCACACACACACGCATACCACTAACAGAGAGAAGGGGACGTTAAAGCTTTGTCACATATAAGCTTGACAGGACAATCTTATTGCGCACGGCGCACATGCAAGTGTCACCAACTGGACAAATCTATTTTGGCTATGCTCGCAAGCAAGTTTTAATAAATACCGCTGTATCCATAGCCGTGGAAGGGACGACGCCTGAACAGGCCATGCCCAAGGCGGCCAAAGCCGCGGCCGTAGCGACCACCGAGGAAGGGGCCGCGGAAGCCGAGAGTGCCGATGCCGAAGCTGCCCAGGCCGTGGAAGCCACCTCCATAGCCGAGGCCGCCGATGGGACGGTTGAGTCCGAAGTTACCCAGGCCGTTGAAGCCGAGGTTACCCAGGCCGCTGAAGCCGAGGTTACCCAGGCCATTGAATCCGTACTGATTCAGACCGTTGAGCCCGTACTGGTTGAAGCCGTTGAATCCGTACTGGTTCAAGCCGTTGAATCCGTACTGGTTCAGGCCGTTGAAGCCGATGTTGCCCACGCCGCCGAACGCGAGGCCGCTCCGGCGACCGATGGGAGCTCCATATCCTTGGTCAAGGAAGCCGCTGCCGCCGTAGGGGCCGCTGTTGATGCCGTAGGAGTTGATGGACGTGCTCGGGCCGTAGGAGCCCTGACGGCTCTGGGCGCCAAGGTCGACCCCCGAGTAGGAGTTGTAGTCGGCACCGGAGTCGTAGCCAGAGCGCGAGAGAGAAGGCCCGGCTACCTGTCTGGCACTGGTTGAAGAGGAGCTGCTGTCCGCGGCCACGGCAGCCACCAGGGCGAGAAGGAGAATGTTCTGGAGCAGCAGCAGAGAGCGACAGTGAGCGACAGATACTTTTATAGAATGTCAGTGAGCGACAGAGACTTTTATAGAATGTCAGTGAGCGACAGAGACTTTTATAGAATGTCAGTGAGCGACAGACTTTTATAGAATGTCAGTGAGCGACAGAGGCTTTTATAGAATGTCAGTGAGCGACAGAGACTTTCATAGAGTGTCAGAGAGCGGCAGAGAGCGTACAAGGTGACAAGTATTGCCAAAACCCAAAGGGCTCTAACAGAGTCAGAGCGTCAACAGCGTTTAAAAAATCCTCTAAAGAAACCAACCAGTTCAGGATTCTATCTATCCAGAACACCCGTAAGAAATACCCGCTGCACTCGCAGACCACATCAAACGCTCACCTTCATTATTCTGACGAAGAGGGAGACCTAATTCTGACAAAGCGGGAGACCTCTGAAGCCCAACCACAGCTCTGGACTGGTGACCAGAAGTGCGGCTGCTCTCATCTCGCGCTCCCTTTATACACCCACCCTGCTACTGAAACACCACCTGACACTGATCAGCTCTGCTGGAGGAAAATGCGTCACCGTGCGTCGCATTCCGCCCAGCCGCGCCCAATTCAGACGTATACTGAGACCATTTGCTGCATGCCACTATGGGGAAGTTTCTGCAGCTTCCGAGTTGAGAGCTGAAACATCGGGTCCACTTGAGTGTAAGGTAGTGACTTTGCTGCAAATTCCACCTCAGTGGTCGTTGATCTGTGTGGAAGAGAGCGAGAGATCCTGATCGTGTTTGTATGAGGTGGAATGCGAGACAAGAATTCTTTTGACAGACATCTCGTGCGGTAGTGGAAGCAAATTGTAGATGAAATCCGGGAAAATGGGAACGACAGCAT